TTATCTGTTAGAGGGAAGGAAGAAAGCAATGAGTAGCCAAAGGAGTCATGATGACAACACCATCAGCGTCCTGTAATGTCCTGTGATGCAGGGTAACATTGCATCTGGAAACACTGTATTTTACCAGAAATTTACCAAAAATTATTTTTGTTGGTTTATTCATTTACTCACACATTTATTGATCCATCGCTCTTTTTTAAAAAAGATTTTATTTCAGAGAGAGCTAGAGAACTTGAGAGAGAGTGAGCACGAGCAGGAGTGGGGTGGTGGGGAAAGGGGCAGAGGGAGAAGGAGAAGCAGACTCTCCCACAGACCAGGTAGCTGGAGGCAGGGCTCTGTCCTGGGACCCTGAGATCATGACCCGAGCCAAAGGCAAGTCTTTAACAGGCTGAGCCACCCGGGTGCCCCTCATCCATCACTCTTACAATGGAAGAAGAGCTCATAGCAATGTATTTGTATAATACTACACATTATTATTGGTTTCGAAGTACATCTTCTTATAAAAAATTGAGCCAGGGAAGGTAAGCGGGATAAACTGTATGGGTCCTGACTGCCTTGCCTGCGCCGACCCGGCCTGGAGGTTGTCCATGCACCTGGCATCTGATGAGACTGCCCCATGGGTGCAAGTAGGAGGGGAGCCTGGGCATAGCTTTGGGGGCCAGATGCAGCCTGGGGCTGCTGCTTCTGGTGCGGCTCCTGCTCAAGCAGATTTATTCAAATCAAGCAACTGTTGTGATGCTTTCCAGTACCTCCTCCGGAATCTAGCTGCTCGCAGTCAACAGCCTGTGTCTTTATGGTCTTATTCTGTCCTGGGTCTCTAGTCTTAGGAGGCTCAAGCCAAGACCCATTTATAGGGTAGGCCTCCTTTATCAGCGGCTTCTCCGTCAGGGGTTTTAGTTACCTGTGGCCACCTGGGGTCTGGAAGCAGCTGATGCTCCCAGCCAATCATGTAAATGCTGTCACCACACTGGCGTCCTTCACCTCCCAGCTCATCACGTAGGCGTTTTAACATCTCACATAATAGCATGAAGAACGGTGACTACGAGAGAGAGATTTTGAGAGACAAAGAGAGGCCACATTCACTTATCTTTTATTGTGGAATATTGTTATAATTGTTCCATTTTGTTATTGTTAAGTTTTTATCTTTACTGTGCCTAATTTGTAATTTAAACCCTATTTTAGGGAAAAACATAATACATATTGGGTTCCGTACTATCATGGTTTCAGGCATCCACTGAGGGTCTTGGAACGCATCCCTATGGATGAGGGGGGGTTCTCTTTTCTAAATCCAATCCAGGGCACCTGGCTCAGCAGTTGAGCGCCTGCCTTGGGCTCAAGGCATGACCCCCAGGGCCCTGGGATCGAGTTCCACATTGGATTCCCTGCATGGAGCCTGCTTCTCCCTCGGCCTGTGTCTCTACCTCTGTCTCTGTGTCTCTCATGAATAAATAACAATCTTTAAAAAAGATTTAAAAAATAAATTCTATCCAGATAGTGTGTAGACCTCCAGTGCAAGGAGGAAGAAACAGGTGTTCATTGAATCTGCTAATTCCGTACCTTATTTTATTGACACAGAAAATATGGAGGATCCCAAAATTGAATGGTTTGGAGAGCAGGTGAAGCGTTTGACTAAATGGTGAATCCCAATATTAAATCTGCTGGAGTTGCAAGTACAAGATGAAGGGAAACAACATCCAAAATTAGTGAAGATGATTTTCTTAAATGTGGTTTAAGAAGTACAAGGCACCTGGAATCCTACCTTAAAAACGAGAGTAGATTTTGTCTTCTCTAGAGAGAAAGGATGAGATGGGGAAGAGATTCAGGTTTCATTTGGTTCGGCAGGGCCGTAAGAGAACACACAGAGCTTGTAAGCTTCTATATATGGTACGTTGGCAGGTGCTCCCAGGTGTGGCCGTGATGCCCTGATGCTTCAGCTGGGCGCATTTAAGACCAAGATGCTCTGGATGCAGCTTTACGTCGTTAGGCTCTCACTTTTTCTCGAGAACTGAACTCTTGGCTTTTAGGCTCTGGATTGGACATCGCATTGGCCTTTTTTCTGTAGTAACTGTCGTGTACCAGACAATTGGGATGGACTAAGTCTACCTCAAATCCAAGCATAATGGGTTAACTTTGCTTTAATCTTTATCACCTCTTTCTTTTCTTTCTTTCTTTGTTTCTTTCTTTGCTTCTTTCTTTCTTTCTTTTTTTTTTTTTTTTGGTGCCGAGACCCAGGATTGATACCACCCCTTCCTGGGCAACAAAAGCGTCCGGTTCACGTAGATAAAATGATTCCAAAAAAGTGCACTGACCTCCACTAATTTCAAAATGCTCTTTATTTCTGCATATGCTGAATACTTTTTAGAATTTAGAAGATGATCTGTTTTGAAGGTAAAATCGACTCGCCTTGAAATTAAGGCAAATATGTGAATCAAACGGTAAGTCAAGTATTTGGGAAGTGAAGTGTGGAATAATTCTTGTGCTTTTTTTGTAAATACTTTTTGAAGAAACTCTATGAATCAGAATAGCCTCATTTGGAACGCTTTCTTTTATCAGTCAATATTTTTAGAAAGAGCCTGGCCCGAAGCCTAACGCGGGCTGAATTCTGGAAAGTAAGTCTTTCACAGCTGCCTCGAGGCACAGAAACCTTTTAAAAATAGATATTCCTTAAAGTCTTTTGTTCCCATGGTCGCACACTGATGCTTACGTGTTCCAGTGTCTACTATCTCCGCGGTAGTCTTGATAACTAAGGTCATTTTTTTTTAATCGTTAGCCATCTCCCCAGGAACCCACATTCAGCAGATCTCCAGCTACTGAGTGTGTGATTGAACCTGACCTTTTGTTTCCTACCTGAATGTCGTGCATCTATTTTGGGTTATGTATTGTGTTTGGGTATTTATGCCTTTATTCACAGTAACTTCTCATGTTCTGGAATGGATTTGTATTGAACACAAACTGTAAATAAATCGAAATGGCTAAAAACCTACAGGGACTGTAATTACCTTGTAACAGCTAAACCTGCAGGCTTTGAGGCATTAATTTCCTTAAAGTCACAGCAGCTACGAAGTGTCCTATACAGTTTAATTTCTTCACATTGAATGCTCTGTGATTTCAACCTAGTAAATAATCAAGATATGCAATAACTGGGAATAGTTTAAAATAATTGTTTTTTTGACTATATACTATAAACCTACATGTTTTTTGCATTTTTCTCTTTCCCACCCCCAGAGCTTTCACAGTCCTCCCCACTTACCTGCCTTTTGCTATTTTTTTCATTGCTTTAACCCTTCATATTTTTTCAGTTTTTATCATGAGATTGCTCTCATTTTTCCCCCACTATAATTTTGTCTAAATAATGCAATGGTCAGTCATCAAACAGTAATTTGATTGAGCCACACCTGTTCTTGGAATCTTAAAAAGTTTAAGTTGGATGTTCATATGCAGAAAAACATTTTCTGTTCCTTAATTTTCTAACCATATGATCAAGAGGCACAAAAAAAAAGTGAATCTTGAGTGATTGGTATAAACTGCCTGAAGATGGGTAATATTGAATAGAAAAACGTAAAGATCTTAATGAAAGGAGACAGCATCCAATTTATTTACAAGAAAGAGTTCCTAACATGAACATATTGTGAACATTAAAAAAAAATGTGACACGTGAGCTTTTGGAACTTACATCTTAATTTATCACTACCAATTCTAGCAGGAAAAAACATGCCTGTAGCCATTTCAAGAGAAGATGTAATGAAAAATAAGTCCTGATGGGGTGCCTGGGTGGCTCTGTTCCTTAAGCATCTGCCTTCGGGTCACATCATGATCTCAGGGTCCTGGGGTCGAGTCCTGCATCGGGCTCCCTGCTCAGGGGGGAACCTGCCTCTCCCCCTCCCTCTGCTCCTCTCCCCCACTTGAACCACCATTCTCTCTCTCTCTCACTCACTCTCTTCTCTCAAATAATTTAAAAAAATCAGTCATGGACATTGAACATAAAAAGGAAATTTCAGAAAATAGCTCTTTCCTAACAAAATTACTTAAATATTGAGGAATTTTTTTGTTAGGTTTTTTTTTAAAGATTAGAACATATTAAATTTAAGTCTGAGTCTTAGAACATCTTCAATGTGAGCCAAATACAAAGCCCCCCCTTTTTTTTTGCTTAGCACAAGTTGTGTTCAATAGACATTTTTTGGCTTCAAAGTTTAGATGATGCACAGAGAAATTTTGATTTAATGAAACCTGTACATTACTTCAACCAATTGCTTAATTTCCTAATAAATACTCTAAGTATGAAATTCATATGTGAGAACCATACAAATTTAAAATAGAAATTATATAATTAAGGGGTGCCTGGGTGGCACAGTCCAACCAGGTACAGTCTGACTCTTGGTTTCAGCTCAGGTGTGAGATGAAGCCTGGCAGTGGGCCTTGTGCTTAGTGCAAAGTCTGCTTGGGATTCTCTTTCCCTCTCTTCCCCCCCTTTTTTTCTCCCCCTACCAGTGCTTTCTCTCTCCCTCAATAAATTTCCTTTTTAAAAAGGATTTTAAAGTTTTTGAAATTTCAAGATGAGTTTTGTTCAGGCTTAATTCTTTATTTCATTAAAAACTTATAATTTTGGGGAATCTGCTTTTTTCCTTATAAAGGTTATTTTTATTTAGCAAGAAGAATGCAACATTAGAGGGGATCCCTGGGTGGCCCAGCGGTTTAGTGCCTGCCTTCGGCCCAGGGCCTGATTCTGGAGTCCTGGGATCGAGTCCTGCATTGGGCTCCCTGCATGGAGCCTGCTTATGTCTCTTTCTCTCTCTCTCTCTCTCTCTCTCTCTCTCTCTCTCTCTCTCTCTCCCTCTCTCTCCCTCTCTCTCCTTTTCTGTGTCTCATTAATAAATAAATAAAATCTTAAAAAAATGCAACATTAGAGAAGATGAATATACATTTTTCTTGTATTTAAAAATCTATCATTTTCCCTCTCATCTATTTATTTCAACTGATTCCTTTTTCTTTTCTTTCAACAGGCTGAGTTAAATGACCCAACTGACCCCTTCACTAATCCTAGTACAAAAGTCTCATCAGATGTTGGGGATGAAATTTTCTCTAAATATGTAGGCTGGAGAATTGCCAGTGCTCTTTCCAAACTGTTCTTCTCTTCTGCCGATGCCCACCTTCTTCCTTTGAAAGGACCATCGAAAAAACAGGATTTGGTGAAATATCTGAAAAAGAAGGATTCCGTGAAGAAGAGAGTTCTACGTGTTACTGTAAGGTAAAGTGAAGCATTATTCAAAATAGTCCTGTTATTCTAATACCCTGCATTTCAAAGTCACACAAATTATAAATAATCCTATGCCACGTTATTTAACTCAGTTTCTCATTTCCAATTCGAATCTTGGCTTCAACAACTTGTAGCTCTTGTAGCATAGGCAAGCACTCTCTTCTAAGCAACTATTTCCTGTGTTTAAGAAAAAAGAAATATATATATATATGTGTGTGTATATATATATATTGTATATAAAATATATAATCAATGTTCTAATATGGTGAAAGCCTCCCTCCAGTTACCAACCTTCATTTGCCCAGTCTACCCCTATCTGTCCCTACCATTAATTGCTTGTGTATCCTTTCAGGGTCTATAAAGTAAAAACAAAATAAATTATAAGAATATTTTACATTTTCTCTCCATTTTTACATGAAAGTTAGCATACTAAATATACCATGTGGCATCTTACATTTTTTATTTAACTTCATTTCTTAGATTTTTTTTCATGCCAGTATATAGAGAATTTTCTCATCATTTTTTTAATCTATTACAATGTTTTTCTTAGTATGGATGTACCATAGTTTATTTAATCAGTAACTGATTAAATCGGCTTCCTATTGGCCTGCATCTGGGTTGTTTTAGATTGTCTACTACTATGTACTATCACAGAATTTAACCTTCGGTCATCTGTCTTTTTATACATGTGGAAGAGTGCCTGTGGGATAAATTCTTGGAAGTGTGATTTCTGAATATGCCTTTATAATTTTGGTAGATATTTCCAAATTGTCTTTCAGAGGAATTTTGCACATTTATATCCCCACCAGCGATATCTGGGAGTACTTGTTTCTCTAGTCTTTCCAATAGGGGCTGTTGACAAACTTTTGGGCTTTAATAATCTGAAAAGTGAAATGTGGTTTCTAAATATAGTTTTCTTAAGGTGAGTGGTTTAAATAACTTTCATTTGTTAAGAGCCTTTGTTTATATGGGAATCAACTATTCCTTTTGCACATTTTTCTATTGAGTTTGTATCTTTTTTACTTAGCTTTGCAAGTATTTACTAATCTAAAAGAATTAAAAGAATTTCAATAATTTGGAATATCTACTCATTCAAGGTTTGGTACCTAATGCCTCTTCTTAGGGTAGCTCTTTGTCAAATTTTTCTATTTTTAAATGGCTATTGGCAAGGCCGATTCAGCCAGAATGCACAGTAGAGCTAAATTCAGTTATTACTGTTTGAGATCCATGCCATTAAAACACATGGAGTATCAATCCTGAACGTTATTCTCTTTAGATATTTCTCTATCTTCTTTAGTCAATTTTAGCAGATTATGCTCTTTGAATATTACCTCATTTGTCAGAATTTATTTGGCCACAAGACCAAAGTAGTATATTAAGATTCTTCTGTTTCTGTTTATTTTCTTCCTCAACCAATTCTCATTTTGTGTATTTGCATTTTGTCCCTTTTATTCTTCTTAATTAGTGTTTTATTCATTTTATATTATTTTCCCAATGAACCAGCTTTTAGATTCAAATTCAGCGTTGTCTAATTCATTACTTGTGCTCCAAAATTATGAGACTTTTGCTACCCAAAGGCAGACTCTATTGGAGGTATAATAACTGGATGAAATAAGGCCAGTGGGCAGGCTTGGCTTTTGTATACATAAACGGTCCACAGAAAAATAGACAAATGCTTGAGAGGAGTTCTGACATAGTCTTGAGCATTTTTTCCAGAATTCTAAAATCAGTGAGGAGGACATATACATTTGAATTGAAGGATCTCACAGCCTGGACTTTGGGAGTCTCGTTGAAAGAAATAAATATCATAAAAATATTCTTCAGCATATACTATAGCATATACTTATTCTTCAGCATATACTATAAATATAAAAATATTCTTCAGCATATACTATAAATATTTGTTAGGTTGCAATATATCAAAGTACAATGAAAATGCCAGCTTCAAATATCAGGGGTATTGAGATTTACTTTAGGATCCCCAAATGTATTCCATACATTCTCAAGGACCAAAGACATGGGAGAAAATCCATCTGGGACCAGAGAGGGGACTTTGAACAAGTGACTTTGGCTTCTCATTATGGTCAGTTAAAGGAAAAGATAGAAAACGAAAAACAGAAGAAACTGGATATTGGTAAGAGAAGATGAAGGAAATAGGGGAAAGGGTCAATAAAATAGTAAAGGAATAAAAGGCGGATGGAGATGAATGGTTCCTGCCGGGACACAAAGGAAAAGCAGAGAGAGAGAGAAGAGGAGACATGTTGGCAAGTAGCTCAGCGGGTCAAGCCTCTGATTCTTGGTTTTGGCTCAGGGCACAGCCTCCAGGGTGTGGGATCCAGCCCAGTGTGAATGACTCTGCTCCAGATCCTCTCTCGTGCGTGCACATCCTCTCTCCCTCTCTCAAATCAATCAACCAATCTTAAACCCCAGAAGAGAGAAATAGGTGTTATGAGCAGCAGGAAAGATGAGAGACCGACTGAGAAGAGGTCTGCTAGAGCCAGTTACCAATGGGGCGATGGGGGCGAGGGTTGAGGGGGGGAGGCGAATATGCAAAGGCAGAGGAAAATGAGACAAAAGAATAGTGGGGTGAGGTTATGACTCACAGTCCTGTAGGTTTTGAAGGATTGGTGACTTAAGCTTCCCATCAGAGCCTACAGTCCACTGATGACCATCTTTCATCATTAATCTTGAAAAAATGATTTTTCATTTTTTGAGATCCATGCCATTAAAATACCTGGAGTGTCGGGGGGCAAGGAGCCCCCCACAAGTAGCCCCCCCGCAGGATGTGTAGGGGGACAGGGAACTTGGGAGAATAGGGTTCATTATTGCCCTGGAGCCCTAAAGTGTACTTATTTCGGTGTGAAAATCTGAAAATTTACTATTAAGGAGAAAATGGAGCTTCCTTACTGATGAAGCATCAGCTACATCTCATGACCTATAATTTTTTTCCAGAAATATTTTTCTTCACTTGTGTTTTCAGCCTGTTTCTTTGAAACCAAGAATTCAGCCTTTTGTATGTTGATAAACAGATATTTTACTCTGAGTGATTTGCAGATCTGACTTCTTTCTTTTTTGAAAAATTTCAAAAGGAAATTCATTGTTTTTCTACTTTATATTGTCTTTTTGGGGGGCAGGGGTTTGCTTTAAGTTAGTGGGGCATGCTATTGGATGCATGTTTTTTTGTCCCTCAGCATTAAAAAAAACAATCATTATGGTTCTCTTACTATATCCTAAAATGGCAGCCAAAAAACCAGGCATATAATTCTTCTACTTCAAAGCATAGTATTTTCCTTTTCTCTGTTATTAAAAATACCATAAATTTACCTTAAGGCTAAGGATTGAGAACTCTGAAGGCCAAATTTTCAAAAACCAGTTCCCACATCTACTGTTTGCTTCTGAAGTTTCTCATAAACATATTTTCTAAGCTTAGGCCTTGAATCCCTGTAAACTGACAAATAACTGATTTTTGCACATCTGCAAAGACTGGGAAAGTTCTGACCTGAAACTTTGTCTCTGATGCTGCATAGTTGGCTCACAAGTTTTGCATCTGGAGACTTCAGGACACCGGCCGGAGAGAGAGCCCAGGTGCTCCTGGCAAAAGCGTGCTGAGAGCACCTGTGGCCGTTCAGGCAGGAAGTGCCAGCTGCCCAGGCCCCAGGGATGGAGGGGGACTCCACCAGCTGAAGCACTCGTAGGCCCCCTACTTCTAGCTAGCTGGTTGCCAGGCAAGTCAAGATGAATCTCTGAGGTCGTAGTTGAACAATCCTGTTTATTTTGTACTTTTTGTAGATTTTACAGACCTATAAAAATCTCCATTTTTATATACGTGGAATCTGCTAGGCTAAGTAATTTGCCCAAGGACCCAACGACCTTTAAGTGTAGGGGTTGGAACTTGGGTACCTCCTGACTTCTGAGTCTACAGTGCTGCTTTCTTTCCCCTCGTGGGAAATTTATCTGATGGCAAAGCCTTGAGCAGTTAAAAAAAAATTAAGAAAAATATTTTTGTTTATTTTTTCAATTTCCGTCTCGATTTTCAGAGCTTCATTTTGATTAAGGGACTTTTTTTTTTTTTTCTGCGCTCTGCATCTCTCTAGTTATTATTAGGAAATCTATGTGAAGGTGGAGGCACTTTTAGAAAGATGGTATGATTTTTTTTTTCCCTCCACTGGCTTTAGCGAAAATCATAGTGACTTACTAGAGAGTGCCTCCTCCTTGATGTGGAGTGCATATATATGAAGAGAGGGAGATTAAAATAATAAAAAGAGCTGCAAAAAATTACTAAATGTCTTAAATCTTCCTACTTCTAGTTCACGAAAGGAAAAAAGGAATCTGTATCTCCTTCACAAAACATCAAATATGTTTGTTTATAGTTGCTTTCTGATTAATTTAGATTAAGTAATTTAATTTCTCTGAGCCTTCAGCTTCTAATCTTTGAATTGTAAAAACTGTACATCTCCTCAGGTTTGTCTTGAAGTTACAAGGAAAACCTCTAGATAAAAAGCCTGGATATATTAGTTCCTTTTCCCTCTGTTCTATAATTTAGTAGGTTTTCTAAAAAGGTTTTTTTTTTCTTTATAATATATTATTTAATTCTTAGGAAAATTATGATAAATAATAACTGGAAGATTTACATGGTGGTGCCTATATATAATTAAGCTATGAATTGCTGCTAGCAACTTTTCAAAGAACGCTTACAGCTTCACGATGATTCCCTTTTTGGTTCTGTTTTGTTTCCCTTCTTCTTTCTAGTTTTAGAATGAAAACACAGTTGACAGTGGTTCTGTGTCATACATGCATTTTGAAGGTATGGTGTCAAGATCCATTATGGAAGAGTAAAGTTTGGAAATGTTGATAGTTAGCATGGCTTAACCATAATTTTCAGCTTAAGAGAGGAAGAAGAGCCTGAACAGGTCTTCAGAGATGAGCTCCTGATCCTTGAGGCTTTGTGATTTAATTATTAAAATATTGGTTAGATCATCAGCTCCCATCGG